GGGGGGGGGGGGACTCCTGTTGAGGCCTCCTCCACCCCTACAGCCTCGCCCGATTCTCCGGTCTTATACAAACAAAACACAAGCCATAAGCCAACTGGCTATAACACAAAACCCCTTGGCTACAGCTTAGGTTCCCCGCCAACCTGGCTAACCTCCATATCCTTGCCAGGGTTCTCTCCTCCCGGCGTCCGCATACTTAACGCACAGCACGGCCCTGCCTGCTCTTGCAGAGCTGCTTCTCCTTAGGCTGCCAGAAGGGAACTAACTCTGGCCTTGGCCTGCCCTGCTTATAAAGGCCAGGCCCTGCCCCCTTCTGGTCAGCTGACCCACTTGGTTGCTTAAGCAACTCACACCTGTGCTGCCCTTGAGTGGCAGCTAAGCCCATGTTACCATTATCAGTAGCAGGCGTCTTAACGTCCTGCTACACACCACCATCTAGTAGCATGCACCCTAGTGCCCTGCTACAGTAGGCTATAGAAGAATCTGCAGTATTGCTAACACCAAGTGTTAAACAATCAGGAGACAGGCCACAAAAAAAAATCATTCAGCTAAAGAAAGGAGAGCAAGAGATTCTGGGTTTTATTTATTTGCCTTCGGATTATACTCATTCAATACTTACCAGGCTTTCCTTTGCAATTAGGGATGCTAAAAACACCCACCTCCCTCCCACCAACAAAAGCAAAGATCGTCATGCAAACTGTCAGACACAGCAGTTGTGGCTTTAAGCCTTTAAAGAAAAAAAGACTGAATATGAGATGCACAAAAACAAAATCCAAGGAGTTGGCAATCCTGAACTTAATTCTTATCTCATCCCTGAAATCATTAAGGAGCCTAGAGTTTGATGCCTCCCAGTCCCATGTCTCTCTGGCATCCAAGCATTAAGTGCAAATGCTTTGATTTTCTGTTCTGAGAAATATTCAACCTATAACATGGAGTTCCCCTGCCATTGCTTCTCATTTGTTACGCTTGTCTTGCTATATTGTTTACAGCCACTAGGGGATGCTCGCCAGTCATACTTACTGCCTATGGATTTGGCAGATTTTTACTCTTGGGGAATCTAGCTTGACATAGTTCAAGAAACTACTTCAGTTCAGGGGTATTAGGTGGCTTAAGCAAAGAATCGATAAGCAAAGGCTTCTAAAATTCAATCCCTAGGAGTTTAAGAGCAGTTTTTGTCCACTGACTGTTAGCTGGGAGTATGAAGTAGGGGTAATGCCTTGCTGGACCTGGTCCTGGCCACTGGGGATGACCTGGTGAGGGGACTGCAGGTCCTTGACCACCTGGGCAATAGCGATCATCACCTGCTGGAATTCACTATCCAACACAGGGTGTCAAGGGCTTACAGCAAGACTAAAGCCATTGACTTCAGAAGGGCCCACTTCAATGAGCTTAGGAGATTAGTGGGGGAGGCACTGAGGGCCCAGAAGGTAGAGATGGGAGTGCAAGAGGGATGGTAGTACCTTAAGGGGACGATTCTCCAGGCCCAAAGGGTAACAGTCCCTGAGAGAAGCAAGGGGAGTAAGAGTGCTCAGAAACCCCCTTGGCTCAGCAAGGGCATTCAGCAATGCCTGAGGACTGAAAGGGTGGCATACAACCAGTGGAAGGGAGGAGCTATCACCAAGGAGAAGTACTCCTCGGCCCGTGCGTGTAGGAGGGCTATTAGAAAGGCCAAGGCAGAGATGGAACCAGGCTAGCGTCCAGGATTAAGGACAACAAAAAGTCCTTTTTCAAGTACATTGGGAGCAAGAAGAGGGCACCAGGCAATGCAGGGCCCCTGCAAGATGCAAACAGTAATCTTGTGGCTACGCCAGACGAGAAAGCTGATATTTTTAACAGTTTCTTTGCCTCTGTTTTCTTGAACAGGGACCAGGACTTCCCACCTACCAGACGTAGGGACAATCTCGGGGATAGCTCTGTCAGGCCTTGGTTCAGTTAGGTGTAGTTAGGGATCTTCTGGAAGGGCTGGACATTTTTAAATTTGCAGGTCCAGATGCCCTCCACCCAAGGGTGTTGAGGGAGCTGGCAGGGGTCATCGCTATGCCTTGCTTAGCATTCTGGCTCAAAGAAAGGAATGCAACAGTAGGGAGGTAACACTGATTTCTGTATACATGTAGAGGGCAAGGTGACTCAGAAGGACCTGGAAATATGCATAGGTAAGTGGGTGGCAGTTACTGGTAGTTTCTTAAGCTGGATAAGTTATTTTCCTTTTGGCCACGCAGTCCTGCAACTCCCATACAACACATATAGTCCTGTGTACTCAACAGGTGACCCATACGGGACTAAGAAATAGGTTTGCTGTGAAAGCGGGTTCCTAAAACCTGGACAATTTTAGTAAAGGTTACAGATAATTGTTTCACTAGCAATTGAAGAGACCAGTCATCTATTAACCTATGAAACCTAAGGGCTAGAATCCTGCTAGCTATAAGGATCAGAGTCTTGTTTACTATGAAGGCCCTGAAGCATCTGAAAACAAAGAGATGCTACCATTCGCCTCAAGCTCAGAAGAGTCCAGTTGACCTGTACTATATATTGAGAAATCTCTGAAGATGAGGCGAGTTGTGGTTATAATCACGTGCTTGAGAAATGTGAAGGTCCTATTAAAGCCTTGCATTGAAATAATAGTAACAGCAACAAAATGGGAAAGTATGTAGAAAGAGCAACAGATTTACTACCTGTTTAATTTTTAAACAAAAGGCTTTCATAAGGACTCCAGCATTTGCAATGTTTATGTGTATTTAAAGTTTATTATGAAATGTTATGGTACTTGGAGTCTGACTCCAAAGTCTTAACAGCTACATTTAGGGTTTTTCCTTACAATAGACTTTACAGTTAAGTTCTTATGCTAATTTCTGTGTAATGTTCCCTGCAAGAGAGAAGTCCACCATGTGTTTCAGCAAAGAGGTAAGCTCAGGTGCAATAAAAGAGAGTGTGATAGTGTTATATGTTACCTCAGCACTTTCCTTCCTGGATGAAGTTGATGAACAGACCACACTTACTTCTGACATATTTCTTGCTTTCATGCTAGTTTTCTGTTATAGTAGGAATAATGACCACTCCAGCAACCATCATCATATGCAAGAGTTGGTGGCTGGTTATGTACGCAATAAAAGCTGAAATGTGGCACTACTGACCTGCATTCTCCTCAGGTTTGGGGTTCATGAGACGGAATGGCAGCTCTGTGCACACTTCACTGTGGAGAGAGAAGAGAAAGTATCAGACCCACATGCCCAGTATAACTGTCCTTTCAATCAGGTTTGCACCTCACGGATCTGGTCCAACCCTGAGTCCCACTGATCTAGAATCCAGCACCACCCATCCCTAACCTCAGCTATAATCAGTCCCCAACAAAGACCCATACTCAGATTTATCCATCCAAAACCCAACTGTAGGCAACCTCCTCTACCAATGACTGGTTTTAGCATAAGATGTGCCAAATACTATTCTTTTCTTGCTCTTTGCTATAGGCAACACACGTCACAGTCCAATTTGCATTGATGCCTAAGCTTTAGCTTATCTCATTGGCATGTTTAGATTCCTTTGCTCAAGCAGTTTTAAGGGGTTGGGGAGGCAGGGGAGGAATGATAGTTGAGGAAGGGTGAGGAAGCAAAGTGATATATCTATGATTGTAGAGTTTGGAAAAAGAAGAAAACAAAGAAGCTTTACCTGGACATGATATCTCCCAAAATGCTAAGTAAGGAAACAGAAAGACAGAGCTTTTAAACTTCTGCCGTGCTTCATTTTTCCCTCCAAACAACACATAGCCTCCCACCTGCCTGCCCTTGTCCCAGTCCCTCCCTCAGTATCCAGCACCAGAGCTCGCAAACTATTAACAATCTGGTGGCTTTGACCACTGCCAGGTGGCTGCTGTAGTCATGTCACAATGATGCATCTGTTTCAGAACTGATATTTTCTGCTCATTGGAGGACAGTCCTGAGCTCCAAGGCCTTTTGGAGGTTTTAAATAAACCAGTAACATTTAAGAAGCCCAGAGCCCATCTCTGTATCCTGCATGGTTCTTAAAAACCAAAAAATTTGGTAGACATCTTTTATGTAATTTCAGCCACAATCAATTCTGCAGGTGATACTGAAAGCTGGGGCACAGGAAATCACAAGAAAAAAACAAAAATGAGGTGGAAAGATATAGGCTGCAGATAAGGAGTGCTATTCAATCCTAAATATTGTATAGTTATACCAGCCAGGAGAAATGGAATAGAACACACAGGTGAGAATATAACTAGGAAGGCCTCACCAATTCAATAGGCATTCATCTCCCTCATTTCCTTAACATGATTTCAATACTCCTTTTAATATAAAGGAGTATGGTAGTAACTGCAGAAAAAGGGTAGGATCGTGACTGTGAAATAAGAGACTGTCCATCAGAACATCATTTTTTTTAGTGTGTTTGATGCTAAAATTCCAAGAGCATCTCCACTGACTTCACTGGTCCTTTCCTCATATCCATAACTTTGTCTACCTCCTCCTACACACAACTAAGCACAAAGAATTAAGTGAACAAAATGAGCTATTTCTCTCTCAGGCAATCAGGAAAAGTTTATAAAGTGTTAGTCTTCCAAATCCATTCTGTGGAAGGAGGGTAAGTGTTTCTGAACTTCAAGCACCATGAAGTGGGAGCCAGATGACTGTAAAAAGGAACAGCTACTTTATCACAAGAACAAGCCAAGCCACCGACTACTTTACATCCTAGTCAGAAAGGGAGAGAGTACATGGTATGGATTCAGGGGTGTACTTGGTAGCCATGGTGGTCTGAGACAAAAAGACATACAAAAAACTAGAGCTCTTGGTTAAAAAAACGATACCTTTTATTATACCAACTGGAAAATGGCAAAAAAACTGTCCTTTTCTGCAAGCTTTCGGGATCAAAGTACCTTCGTCAGGCTCTGGGTATGGTGTGCATTTGCATTTAAAGTGAATACCACTTCTCATCAACTAAGTTGCAAAAGCTTTCCCAGACTGAGCTAAATAGTGAGATAACATTACCATCTCCCAGTAAACTCGTAAAGCCTGTAGTACTCTATTTAAGGGCCAAGAAGTGCATTTTGATTTAAGCTTTTTTAACCTCCTATAGTAGAAAAGTTACGCTCTCCAAACAACAACACAATAAAAAACGAACAAAAAAGTCAAGAAACTCAGAATTCAGCTACAAGGGCATCTTGGCACCTGACAGTTCACTCTTCACAATCAGGAAAGCCTTTTAGGATTGGCCAAGTGAGGCAGTTTCCAGCAAAGGAAGCCAGACTGTCCTAAACTTTACATTCCATTCTTCTAGCAATAGACTGCCCTGTGCATTCCCCTACAATATATATATTTTTCAGTCCCTTTTTACCATCTACAGATACCAAGAAATCTACTGCACTTACCCCGAGACGATGAGCTTCACCTTGACCCTGTAGGCAACCAGAATCCCAAATACAGTCTTGTCTATCCCTTCTTTAATTCTACAAGAATGAAAAACAGAGTAGGACAATGCAGTATAGCTGCAGAGCTTACAAGCATGCAGCTAGTAAGACACAAGTGCATTCCATCCTAATTTTTCTGGGTGTAATACATTGGGAGTGCCCTTTTATAACTTGGGAACTGTTATACATCCCTTAGGGAGCTAGTAAATGGAAACAGATTCTAGGCTGAATACCATGTTTTCTTGTATACCATCAGCACCCAAATAAACATGCACCTTTTGTTTGTTTGTTTGTTTGTTTGTTTTGGGGGGTAGAATATAGAAAAACAAACTTCCAGAGTCATGGGTGACTGTGAGACATCCTCCTGGAAACAGAGTGACTAGGAAATGCAACATCCCAGAAGACAGCCTGGATGAGGCAGCAAGATCTTCCTAGTGTGGCAAGACAGCAACAAGGCTAGACCTCAAACCCTTGCAAGACGATTGCTTCTTTGCTATAAATAGCTCTTTATATAAGTTTCTCTACATAAAGTATTGTTTCTGCGTGTATTAGTAGCCGTTTGAGAACTGCGTGTTCATGCTTCTATTCCAGAAAAAAAACCCGCTTCCACACTTAAGACACAAATGCTAATCTTGGAAGGCTGATTTTGGGGGGAAAGGTACATGTGATATTGCCATGTGGTATGCAAGTGAACATGGTAAACACAATATAGAAGAAAGCAGGTAGACAGCCTCTCATCTGCAGGCCAGAATGAGCCACTCTAGGTTAAACAGGACAGAGTGATGGGTACCAGGACCCACCCACCACTGGTGTGCACTCATGGCAGCACACGGAGGGCCTCCTGCTGCCAAATGGCACTGAAACCCCACATCCATGAGTCACAGCCAACGGTTCAGTGAGATGTATCTGGGCTGCAGGCCATAGGTTGTCAACCCTAAATAAAACAAAACACTCATTTAACCAATGTCTTACTGGGGTGGGAGTGGGAGGGTGTATGTGTGCACATCTTAATGTGATAGAAGAATACTTCCTTTCTATTCTCCCTCCTGCTTTGGCAGCCTCTATTAGTAGGCATCCTTCAAAATAGGACTCACAGGGTACTAGAAGCCAAGTTAGTATCTTCATCCTTCAGCTTTCCATCCAGTGCTATCTCCCGTACCTCACGATTATTTGCCAGCAAGGGCACAAGTTTCAGTGTTGTGGTGAGGCTACCATTCGGTGGCACCTTGTCCCTGGGTGCACGTAGTGAGGGAAAGTGAGACGCACATTAAAGTTTATGAACAAAACTGGTGAAGAACATTTCAGAACAGATTCCAGAGCCAGGCATCAATTGCTCAGAACTTTCTTTAAAAAATAGCCACTATGATCTAGTCTGCATAAGATAGGCCCATTGGACCTCACCAATGATACCTCCATAGCTTCCAGCTGAAAAAGAAAATACACATCTCTTTTAGAGATATCCAATTATGAGTTAAGAAAGCTCTGAGTGACGGAGGTCTTCCATACTCCTTAGTAACAATTCCGATAGTAAGCTTCTCTCACTGTTAGAGGTTGGCAGCTAATTTCTAGTTTGAGTTAGTCTTCAACTTATTCTTTCTTTTGGATCTTTTTTGCTGGACCACAGAGTCCTTTCCCATCGGAAATCTTTGCATGTAGGTTCTTTTAAATTATGCTCAAATCACACATGTTACCAGAGTGAAGGGCATAAAAACAGAATAAGTCACAGCGCATAATCTCAGACCAAATCAAGCTGCAGTTAACAATTTATATTCTTTCAATTATTTCACCCTCCTGGCCCCTTTGAATCTTTTGAACATGGGCATTACATGCCTCGTGTTAGTGTTTCGCTCCACATGAGATACGGCCACACTAACTCTGGTTTGTAAAACTCATTTTCACCTCTTCTAGTAACTGATGGGTGGGCAGTGGACTGAGAGGCCAGTTCATGATAAGGTAAGTGGGATGTGTGCAAGAGTCCAGTTGGTTAATTTCTCAGGGCTACTTAATGAGGACACACTAGTGGACTTACTGTGGACTGTTAGGTTCTGTGATTTTAAAACTATGTGGAAGGCATCAGGATGGTGGGACTGTTCCTATACGAACATGAAAACAGTAAGAGATACAGAATCCAAATATACGTATAGATTAGCAAGCGAGTAACAATCACAGGAGCAGTTGTCAGTGGGAACTGCAATTTACAACTGAGGGCAGAAACATGTCCTAATTTGTCATTAGCCCTACCACCACCAGAAGGGACCTTTTTGTACTAAAAAACTAGTATATTTATTACTTAAGTGTTGGCCTTTTGAAGTATCATGTGCTAATAACAACTACACAAATATTGAGATATTAAATACACATTGAAAACTGTATTAATACATAACTATTCCAAATTGGGTTTGGGAAAAATTACAATATTTTGAAACTCCAACATCCTAAAAGGGATAGATTGGTGCATGACACCTGTCAGCCTCTGAGATAACTGTAAAGATCACAGAGTAGAAAATGGGGATATCCCTGATGGTCTAAAAAAAGTAAGACCCTATTAATCTGTCATTAAGAATGGAAGTAGAGCTGGCAAAAGATCTCTCAGTGCATTAAGTGAGCTGTTTGTCATGGGCCTGGCACGGAGAAAGAGTGGATCATCAAAACACAGAAGCTCACCTTATTGTCCCCCTACTTAGAGAAAGGCAAGGTGACATTAGGAAACTCTGTCCAAACAATGAGAGTCCCTCTTTTCTGGAGTGGAAGTTATTAAAGGGATGGAAAGTAAAAGACTGAGCAAGGCAAGGAAGGGAAAACAGTGCTGAGACACTCACGGTGCTTCCTCTGTTGCTACCACCTTTGAGTAATAGTCACTTGAATATAAAACCACATTGGCAACTTGTTCCACTGAAACAGAAACAACAACACATTTTTGAGGCACATTGAGGTTACACACATGCAGCATTGTACAGCCAGCCTCTACAATTCTGATGAGCTGGATGAACAAAGAGGGGCACCAGGCAGAGCCCATGCCATTTTACAGCCCAAAGGGACCATGTGGTTACCTAATCTGAACTGCTGCACTGGGCCAAAAACATTTGACTAAAGCACTTCTCTTCCTGAATGGCATTCAATCCTGATGTGAAGGCATCAAGAGGCCAAGAACTCCCCGCTGCCCTTGGTCATTCATTCCAATGGTAAATTTCCTTTGCACCTTCCCCTCAATTTGTAGCCATTAGTTCCTTCTGCCTTTCCCTGCTAGATGTGAGGACCATGCTAATACCTGGCATTTTTTCCCCAGTGAAGGTACTGACACCATTGAGCCATCTCTTGATCTTTTGGATAAACTCCACAAGATGGAGTGCTTTAGTCTCTCACTGAAAGGCATTTTCCCCAGTCCTCACATCATTTGCGTGGCTCTTTTCTGTTCCCTTCCCAAACTTTTGACATTTCTTGGCAAATGAATGCCATATACCGAGGTAAATCACCTCCCAACTACTACTTACTCCTCCCCTTATCTACACTTTCAAGGATCACATTTGTTCCAATCTTACACTTTTTTGTCCATTTGTCAAATTTGTTGTTCATTATGGCCTCAAAATACTTTTCAGAGTCACACTAGGATAAATGGCCTTGTTCTGCACATGTAGCCTTTTTTGTTCCTAGACTAATGAACCTGCATTTCTATGTTACAATGCATTTGTCTAAACGGGCCAGCTACAAAGCAATTCAGGTCACTCTGTTTGATTATAAGGTCAATGAGAGGAGAGTGTTTTCTACCCCCTCCACCAGCAGTAGTGATTTTCTGTTTAATTACAAATCATTGCTAACAGCAACGCTGAATGGCACAAGGCCCAGAGCCAGAACCTGCAGAACTTCACTGGAAAACATCCCCCAGTCAATGATGACCAGGAATCTTAGGTTTCTATGGGGAAAAATGCACAAAATCTGTTTAAAAAAAACACAAAAAGCTGTGTTTTTCCACAACCCACCAAAGGCGAAGTGGCATCCCATGGTGAGCAGTGCCATTTCTGCTCTCATTTATTTGTGCTGTGGTTTTTACCTCTTGGACAATCAACAGCACAACCCCCCACTGATTGGTTGAGAAGCAAAGACCACAGCACAAATAAAAGAGAGCAGAAATGGTGCTGCTTGCCACAGGACACTGTTGCACTTTTGGTAGGTCATGCAGAAACGAGGATTCTACGTTCTTCTGTGGTTTTCCATGGCAAATGGAAAACTAGGATCTCTGGTGATGTCTCCCAATAAAGTTCTGAATCTCTCACTTGGTGACACCCGTCATCTTTGCTTTCAAGCAACAGTACTGGATTGGGACTCAAGAGATCTGCATTCTGTTTTTGTGCAACTCCTGGGCAAGTTGCTTCATCAGTGTCTTTGGTCTTTCTCCTAACCTTTGTCTCTGGTCAATAGAAGACCAATTACAATGAAATTTTCATGTCAAGCAAGGTCCCTAAGGTAATGCTGTAATACAAGTTAAAACAATAGGAGGTAATACTGGAGTTAAACCTTAAATATCCGATTTGAGAAAACCTTGTAAGAAAGGGGATGCGCTTTGCAGTGCCAAAGGGGCCAGTCTCCTACAATGCCATACATTTCTGTTAACAAAGTTAAAATCCATTGCTGACATCAGGATTTCTGTTCTCAGGCAGCAAAATTTTAAAAGCCGTTTTGAACAGGAAATTGCAAAACAAGAAATCATCTATAAACTGAATTGTGTTAAGTATGGTTCAAGGAGGGACTGCAGATTCTTATCCCATTACCTGGATTAGCTTTTGTGACCCCATTGTTCCTGTGGGTTCTTTGTTTTTCTGTCTCTCCCCCCACCTCCACCTTACCTCTCCCTCATTTTTCCCTTCCGTCTTTCATATTCATATCACTCCGCTTTATACACTGCTCTATGCTGTCCTTTAACAGCATCTCATGAAGTGAACTTGAGCTCACAAAAGCTTGTACTATATATAGTCATATTATATATAAAATTTTATATATGTATGTGTGTGTGAGCGTCTTATTTAGTTAGTCTATAAGGTCCATCTTTATCTTGCCTTCTGCCAACTTGAGACTATCATGGCTAATTATCTCTCTGCTAATGAGGTAAAAAGCCAGACTCAATTGTGGGTACAGGCAAAGGGCTACATCTAGAGGCCTCAGAGCCATGACACCTAACTGGGGACAAGAGAGTGAGCAGATGACCCCCCTGGAGCATACTATTTTGTGAAAGGCAGTAGAGCAGCAGCACAAGAACACTGGTAGGGATATGGGGTGGGACAGGGCAGTTTCATCTGTTTAAAAATTAGTAAGATTACTAGGTCGTACATTGCTCCAAGTGCTGTTCAATCACAAGAGCACTCTGCAGCCCTCGCAGGACTATGGACAACAGTAAAACCTTACCCATCACTTTGATCTTCTTCACTGTCTTCTCGGTGTTATTGGTCACAGTGACTGTGACAGGAATGGGTTCACCATGGTAGTAGAGCTGGAAGAGTCAGATTGGCAATGCTGAACTTGATCAAGCAGGAGGGCTGTCTCACAAATAATGCAGTTCTAGTCCCTGCTACATGCAACAGAAAGCCTTGCAGATTGGAGTGGTCAATGCCCCCACACCCACTTAACTACAGCCATTTCCAAGGGCCTGATTCAACACACATGGAAGACAAGAAAAGCCTTTCCAATGACCTTAGTAGCTCTGCTGAGTCCTGAAGAGAAGAGCCAAGGAGCTCATGCACTCCATTTCCAAGCTTCTCCCAAAAACAGAGCTCTTGATTATAAGGGCAAATGCAGGTTGACCCCAAACACAGATCTCAAGAAAAGGCCATGGGACAGTGAAATAAGTATATGAATCTCAATGATGATCATCCCATGCTCCCTGGCCCAGATTTCTCACCTCTTTGCTGAGGGACGCTGTCAAGTGCAATGGTTTACTTGACATGAAAAACTGCCAAGTGGTCTCAACTCGAGGTTGAGGTCCTGGTTCTTCCACAGCAAACTGCATCTTACGAATCAACAGGCGCACAGAGTGCCTGGAAAAGAGCAAACAGAATGGCAGTTAACAGAACAGGACCTGCTACCGCACTGAGATGGTGGCTTGTTTGTGCTCACACCTTCAGGAACATTCCTAACAGGAGGGTCTGACCAGCAATTTATGAAGTAGATCTGAACAAGCTGAACAGCCTGCGCTCATCTCCCAACCCGCCAATGCTAAAAACACTCATTCTGTTACCTTTTGCGAATTCTGTCTTCCAAATTCTCTGCATGGAAAGCTTTAATCTCAAAGTCCACTCCACAGGACTTCCAGGCCAGGAGAGAGACAGAGAGCAAGAGAGAGAATCTGTAAAATTGGAGTTCTAAGGCTGGGAACATTTTAGTACATATTTAGGCATCTTTCTATAATGAGGACTCTGCAGGTGTCCCTATGGTATGGAAACGTCACCCTGAACTTAACAGCTGGCGTTCCCACTGAGAGGATAAGTGTTGTAGACCTAAACTTAAATGTGTACTCTATGTTTCTAAAATTTCTTGGTTATGCCAGCACCTAGAAGTAGCAGTCTTTCATAAACAAAGGCCTCCTGTTTTTCAGTGTCTGAAAACAACTCTATGATCAGCAAAATACCCACTCTTGTTCCAGCAGGGCTGCATGTAATTTAGATAATTCTGCAAAGGTCTATGTAGGCAAGTGGCATTCCTTAATGATTTGTGAAACATTTTGCTAAAATATTTTGTTTTAGCAAAGCAGATACTCCACATACTCCTGTGGCACCGTGTTCCCAGCATCTGCATTATTCATCTCATACACTCACTCTTGTCATTTGGACAAGTATCCAATAAAGTGAATGGAATTTTTTCGTTAACTGCATCAAATCTGAAGAACATATCATTACCTTGCAACTTTCCTTCACTTCTGAAGCCAACATCTCTCTCTCACATATGCTATAGATTAGTGTGATACATTGGCATGGTCTAACAAATCAATACATTTTAAGCATTTGATTTCTTCTACATCTGATCCAACTGGATATCTTGCAAGAACCCATTAAGCATTGCCATGCTCATTCCATTTGGGACTAACTTCAACAGTGCACTGAAGGGAATACCTCAGGTTTGATCATGTGCTTATTTTTTATAACAGATATGCTGTTAGTTGACTGTTATTAACAGCTGGATTCAGCGCCCTACTCCAAGTGCCCAAACTCTGACTCCACAACTTTCTCTAGCTTGTTTCTTGTCAAACACAAGCAGCATTCACAACTTGCAGCCTTTCCAGTGATGAGACGTATATCTACCCCTGTTTACCTAGCTCTTGCTTCTGTACTCTTCAAGCCAGACAAATATTTTTTTTTCAAATTATCTTCTTCCCAATGAAAACATTGAGGATATAAAATCCTGTTGGTCTCACCTTACTGGCATCACGAGGGGATGGCTGCAAGCAGACTGAGCAGGGCAGATTGTCTGGAAACTGAAGGAATGAGGAGGCAAAAAAAAAGTTGTTTAGACGTCCAAGCTCTTTTCTTCATAAAATAACGTAATACTCATGAAAGGTGCAAAACTCACAGCCCTAGAAGATGAGGCCCTTTAGTCATCTATAAAAAAAATGTTAATAGTTGTAATATGCCCTCTTCTTCCCCACAGCAACCTGCCAAAAGAACCAACACTCAATCTGGAGGGACCCCAATGATTCTGTTATTGATTAATTGTGTTACAGTACAGCTTAGAGGACTGAAGTTAGACTGGTGCCCTGTTGCTGGACAGTATGCACACAAACATACAAGGTGAATGAGTCTTTACCCCAAAGGGGCTTACAATTAAGACAAGACAGAAAGGGTAGGAGGAAAACCAAAGGGTCAGACAGGTGAAATGACTTGGCTGAAGTTCCACAGCAAGTTAGCAACAAAGCCAGGATTAGAACCAAGAACTACTGGCTCCTAGCATATATGATAATTCTGCTTCTCCTGTTGGGGGAGTGAGAGAGAGAGTCACAAATGAAATGCCCTGGCAGTTGTTACATTTATGGCATGATGAATGTCTTAATAGCATCAAATGCTACACAGTCAGCCAATTTATGGCACTATAAAATGACAAACCATCCACAAAAGATGTTCCTCATATAATGGAACATATGGTATGACATCTTTGTGTCTGGTTTGTATAGCACCTTAAATTGAACATATGGCATGTCTCCAGACCCAAGGCTGTCCCAGTGAATGCTGTCAATCAGCTGATTTTCAGCACTGGGTCTGGGACAGCCTTGTGCCAATGCTGACACTCAGCTGTCCTGCGTTGTTCCCTAGAAAACTTGGGAACAAGTAGGCTACATACATGTCTGGCACAGAGACTTCATGAAGTCCCTTCAGAACACAGCTGTGCAAATCTGCTTTTGTCACTAAATACCATCCTGTATGTTGGCTCTTAGACTGGCACCCTTCAGTATTGTATCGGAATATTTTCCCAGGATCTGAGGATATTGGGCAGGAGGATTAGTGCTAGCGTAGACAACACAGAAGGAAGGATGCAAACATACTATAAAATGTCTATTGTTAGGCAGTGGCAGCCAGGTTAAACATCTGAACATTTCCTGTTATGGTGGACCCCAACAACCTTCCAGTCAACACAGTGCTTGTGGCCCCCTCAAGGAAGCCATGTATCAAAGCAATTTCTAAATCTTGACTTTTTAGGGCACTTCATAACTCAGACCCACCCTAGTTCATTGTTCTGGTAACGTATAGCAACAGCCAAGAGGGACCTAGGGGTAATGATTGACCACTGTATGAATATGAACCGTCAGTGCAATGCAGTGGCCAGCAAGGTAAACACCACGCTGGCATGCATCAACCGATGCATCTCGTGTAAAACTAAGGAAGTGATATTCCTGCTGTACTCAGCACAGGTGAGACCGCAGTTGGAGTACTGCATCAAGTTCTGGGCACTGCACTTCAGTAAGGACGTGGAAAAACTTGAGAGGGTACAGAAAAGAGCCACCCATATGATCAGGGACTTGCAAGGCAAGCTATACGAGGAAAGGCTGAGGGACCTGGGCCTCTTTAGCCTAAAGAAGAAAAGGTTGAGAGGGGACTTGATAGCAGCTTACCACTATAATCAGAGGAGTGCATCAAGAGCTCTGTGAACAACTGTTCGCTAGGGCACCCCTAGCGAAGACTAGGACCAATGGATACAAATTCCTGGAAGGCTGCTTCAGGCTTAATACCAGAGAAAACTCCTTTACAGTCAGGGTGTCTGGACTGTGGAATAAACTCCCTCCAGAGGTGGTGCAGTCACCTACCCTGGAGGTTTTCAAGAGGAGAGTGGACAGTCACCTCGCTGGGGTCACTTGACCTGTTGTCTTCCTGCCTCGAGTGGGGTGGCTGGACCTGATGATCTGCAAGGTCCCTTCCAGCCCCTAACAATCTATGAATTAACCCAGTTTAACAGTCATAAAAGTCACCACATTTGTCTGCATTTTATGAGCAATTTCCTGTGAGCAACCAGGAACACCATCCTACTAAATGCTGAGCACATTTGGGATAATTAATAAATAAGGCCTAACCTTTGTTTCAAAGTTAGATTATTAGATTTGTTATTATTAATCCCTTCCTTCAGGTAGCCTTGGAGCACTCACAGCCCAGATGGCAATGGACAAGAAGGAGGCTAGAGGCTTAGTGAGACACTTACTGTAAAAATGAAGGGGTAAGCATTGCGCCCCAGCTTCTTCAACAAACGTTCCTGTAGTGGGGTGAGAGAGTCTGGCTTGTATGCTGGTGGGTACAACTGCAGTCTATAGTAATACAGATCCCTTCGGAAGGCCAGGCCAATCACATCAATGTCTTCTTGGCCATAACGGAATGCACAGGTCAGAGTCACATACACTGTAAAGAATACACACAGCAGATTACGCATGCTCTCTGGCCCAATTCCAATTCATCTTATAAAGAGCACCATAAATTAGCTGGATAATAAGACTGAAGCTCTGGACATGTACAAACAGCATGCCCAGTAACTAGAGCTTTTCCTCGCTAAAATAGGACAAAATGTGTATAGACCATGTAGACCCTAGGAAGCAAGATAAATTATTGCTTTGCTGTGGGAGATCACTTTGAAGAGAAATGGAAATTTCTGAAATTACATAAAATATCACACCTGTCTTCTTCTTGACAAGCTCAGGATCCACATAAACAACACCAACTAGAAACAAAAAGAGAAAAGAGTAAAAATTAGGCAGTGTGGAAGAAAGATGTTATCTCTTAGTAAGAGTTGAAAAAGAATCTGTAGCAAGGATGCATCTATACTTACTGACAGGTTCCACGCTCTCTACTTTGTCAATGAAGTCTCGTTTCCCCAGATAGACAGTCAGCTATAGGAAGGAGAAAGACATCCCAACTGAATAACAGCCAATCCTACAACATGCTAAGTATGTTGCCTGAGCTGGCAAAAATATTTAAGCATGAGTAGTTCCCAGGGACATCAATGGGACTATTTTGTCGTTAAAATATTTAATTGATCAGAGTAGTGTGCTCAGCACATTGCAGGATTGAGTCTCACAAGTACAACACAGCTCCTCGCCTTAGAGGCTCAGAGCTGTACAGCTATGAACTTCTGCATCATCAGACTGAAGAGAAAATTAATGTTGATTTAGACATCTGGGTAGCCAGCAAAGGCATTGTCCAATGGAAGGACAGGAGGTGAGTTGCTATCTGAAGTAACTTTTCATCATTTTGTTGATCAAAAATTGTCCATTTTCTGAGTATTACATATATACAGCTTCCTAGGGCTCAGACCTGGGCCTGAATATAGAACAAGTTGTTTCTTGTAGTGGCAACGCAAGCCAATTCTTGAGTTACTTACCGACTTGTCACGTGAAGTCTTCCTGAAAATAACCTGCCTCCGGCCAGAGTTCTTTGCAGGGCAGCTCATTTCCACACGTGGGTGTGTGACTGTACAAAAGTGAAGCCTCCTTGCAACAAAAGACCTTCAGGCACTGAATGAAATTAGAGCACAGTTATGTCTAATGAGGTAGAAATTCTTAACTCACCTCTATAGTACCTTAAACAAAGACTATCCTCACTATGCATTATCTTCTTAGCAGATGGTCCTTTTAATCCAAGCCACAATCCCTTACCACTGTTACAAGGTGGGTAATTCCTGCCAGTAGAAACTATTTCATTAGAAAATTTGAGTTACAACTTCGGTGCTGGGAGAATCTTTTTTTTTTCCCTTTCTTTTTTAACCTATTTGCCTACATTCAAGCTCCAAAAATAAAGGCAAGATCTCAGTTTTTAAGCTACCAAGAGAGTGATGCAGACATGCAGCTGAATCTTCATGTTGCTTTGGAAGTGAAGTGGAAACACAGCCACATATGGGACAGCCAGTCAGTCTTTAAGGAAGTGATTCTCAACTAGGTGCTCTGGCAAACATGATTCACAAGATAAACACACAGATTTTAAATTGGAACTGTAGTCTGAGTTCTTTGCAACAGAATAATTGCTCTACTATTTTTCTGTAATCTAAAAAAAAAAAAAGGAGTGAGAACTAAGAGCTGGAGAGGGGTGCCTGAAGTCTAACAAGGGATACCTTGAGTTCAATGAGGGGTGCCTTCAGGTTGAGAACCACTGCTTTAAAGGAAAAAGATGTTAAAGTTTGACCCTTTAACTCAGGATGCCTTCCTTTTTTTCTGCAAGGACATTTCCATTCACCTCATATTTTCCATCTTCCCCCAGCCCTTACACCTTAATGAAAATTTTTAAGCAAAACTGTATAGTTGGCTGTTTGCTTTGTCCCTTAGTAACATTGGTGATGCCATAACTCAGCTGTTACTATAATTTTCCCCAAATATTAAAAATAATTTTTTTTAAACTAAAATTTTGCAAAGCTACCTTGGAAAATGACAAAGCTAGACTACTCCAGAAGGCAGAAAATGTTTATACTTTTGATCGGATGCTCTTTGTTTTTCCACCCAGTTTTCAGCCAGTTCTGCTGCTTACGTTGTCAGCTTGTAAAGGTTTAGATAGAGGGTATAAAAGGTATTTATAGGGACAATTTATGCTGTATACAGACATACAAAAATTTTCCCCTCCGGAGAAAGTTCAGTTCAACTTTGGAAACAATCAATCAGTCAGAGGGAACATCAGGACAAGTGAGACAAATATTTAGAATTTCCCCCTTTGCTGAAAGCAACAGCAATTCATTTAAGTCCAGAATGAAATTCTTTGATGAAGCTCTGAAGGGAACATATCCCTCCCCCACTGGCACACTGCAGAGTGCAGACCCAGAAGATTTAGGAGAAAACAAAATACCCCCATAAAAATAGTCAAAAGTTAAAATACCTTCCAATGTCTCAAATGTCACAGCAATTGCCAGAAGAAAACATTACACAAGGAATAAGATGAGAACTCCTAACACTGAACAAAAGGTATTTTCCAGGCAGACAGTTCCTATTTATCCTTCTTGTGTGTGGGAGCAAACCACTAGCTTCCAGGTGAGAACCGAGCACAATTTGTAGTCGATTTGGAGATGTTTCCAGCTCTTAATGTCCAAGATTTCAAGAACTAATCCCACTCAAGGAGTAAATAATGTACCTAGATTAAGATCCATTTGGAAACTGGCTAGGTCAGCAGTGTTGGGTATTACTTAAGGGAGCACAGGCCTGATGAACGGGTCTGCAATGTCATTGCCAGACTCATAGCTGTATAAGGACAACACAAAGACTTACAGAGAACGGGAGGGTTATTGCTTTGTTCTAAAGCTCTGTCTCCATCTTCTATCTATTGTAGTTACATATCATACAGCTAATAAGAAGCTAAACATAAAGACCCATTTGTGAGATGCTTAATTTGCCAGCATTAGAACAAGACTCTATAAATACTACATAGTCTAGACTCTAAGGGTTGCAAACACATCATCATAGTTATTTTCACAAGCTGTAAGTTCATCTATTGTTGCTCCACCAGCATTCCCCTGACATGTTATGCACAGAATATAGATTGCCAGCATACTGTTTGTTGTTCCAATTAGTTTAAAAAGGAGAAGTGACAGATATCCATGTTTAAAAAATTAGAGTCAAGAGGAGCAAAGAAATTTGATCAATTTAGCTTCTTTTTGCTCATGAATAGTCTGAAAGGAGTTTGTTTTGCCTTGATTGCAATTTGATTTTGTCCACAAACCAGGGAGGGTAATTTTTGGTGAGTAAACTATTCAAAAGCAGCTGTATTCACCAGCTCATTTTGGTTAGAGACAAATCGCATAGTACTGCTTCTGTTCTCTCCTTGAATAGACTCTCTTGAGAGTGTGTTTGAAGGAGCCCTGAAGGGAAATCCAGTTTGCTTTTGGGAATAGTCATCCAATATTTACTTGAAGTCAGCACAGCAAATTTTCATGCATTTCTGAAGTGGCCACAGTACTTGGTTAGGACAGTATTTCTCAACCTTTTTATGTTCAAGGCACCCCTTGGAAAATACCAGCTCTTTCATTTTTAACTACAAACCCAACACAAAACCCTAAAGAAATTATTTTGCAAGGAACTCAGAAAGACCACAACAGGTCTGAATGCTTTTGACACTCTGGGTTCCTATTCAAAATAACTTCCCTCCCCCTTGTGAATCAAGTTTGCATACTTAACGCTAAGAACAAGTGGCACCCTGGCACCCTGACAGACACTTGTAAGGATCTCAAGTCAAACAAGGGTGCCACAGTACCTTGACAGTGACTAATATAAGGCTTGTGCTCCTAAAGCATTAAGCAAGCAAGATTCTTTGCGTAAATCCGGTATCTTTTATTAGACCAAGTAAAGTAGTTGGAAAGAATTGGCTGTAGCCTTGCTGGCCTAAAGGATTAAGACATTCTGAAATCCCTCCTCTTGTTGGCTGGAATATTTTGGAAGAAGCAAATATGTACCCACAGGAAAAGAAATCTCCTGTCCTGCTGTAAGGAAGACATGAGATGTACTGTGGCTGCTCTGCCATACAACATTGTCACAGCACAAGTTGGAGGCAAAAGGAAGAAAGGCTATTTCTCTTGACAGCTCATTTGGCTGGTCATGATCACATTCCCTTACCTGTTCCACAAGACTAGAATTCTTTGGCTTATGTCTTGCAAAGCTGCAGTCATTAGAAGGTTAATAGTAATTTAATGTCAATGTTAATTTGATAAGGAGTATTCAATAGCTGTTGTTGGAGAGGAGGGCAGGCAGCAATGGGGAAGAAAGACATTAGTCAGCCTTTTAGGATGGACAGGGCCTCTCTGACTTCCTTTGTGCTTCTGCTGGCTGCTTTGCAAAGCCCCAAAGCTGATCAGGGCCTCTAGCCACTGCTTCACTGAAGTACTTTAAGGGCATATTTAAGAGTTAATTTTATCCATGCTGCTCAGTCCAAACCCAAAGTCTGAATGGAGACAGGAGAGATCAGCTCCAGAGATACTGTTTCCCCCCAACTTCACCTGGAAGTCTATGCCTGCTTACCCCTAAAGGGGCGTTGTGGTAGTCTACCATTCAGTTATTAGTTTTCACAGCCAAAGGCAGGATATGGCTCTTGCCAGAGCAGTAAGACATTGCTAAACCAAGTGGCAGTGATCAGCCTCCAGGAAAAAAAAAAGCCGACAGGAAAACAATGTTCAAATCTCAGAAGAAATGCCAGGTACAGATTACGAGCTTCCCTAGGTTTTCATAGAGCCTCTCTCAAAGGTGCAGGTTAGTTCCGGGTGGACAGTATACACCAGTCTACAGTCCGAATCCTTGATGCAGAGGCAGAGCAGGCGTTTTTCCACACCGTGTGCCTTATTTAATTCGATTTCCTTCTGCATTGCCCTGCAGCTGACTGCAGGCAGTTACTGCAGGACACCATGGCACTCAGCCAGCCCTTCTCAGCATAAGGGCAGAACCATAGTGACCTTGTCAAGTTCTTCCCTACTTGCCAAAAAGAGTGATAAAAACATGGTTACCTGTGGTACAGACTAATCTCCCTCCTAGGTGACAGCACAAGCCAGTTTCCCACCAAGCATCTACAAACCTCTTAAATCAAAGCTCCAGATGCCTCCCCTTCACACTTACTTCTACTGAAGACTGCATTTTATACTTTGAGACACCAGGCACTACAGTAATGGCACATACAGGCTTGGAAAGGTATTGTTCCATGTTTTAGGCAGTTCCCTTTTATATGCATATTTGCAGCCTACTTTTTCTTTCCATCCAAAAGGTCTTTTTCCCCCCCCTATAGCAGGGGTGGGCAAAATCCGGCCCATGGGCCGAATCTGGCCCATGAAGCCATTCTATCCAGCCCACGGGGCCCCTAAAAATATTTAGATAATTAGTATTTATCTGCCCTTGTTTCCTGTCAAAAATGACAGGAACCAAGGGCAGTAGGATCCAGGGGAAGCCCAGTGGGCTCCCACAACAGCAAGTCCGGCCCCACCTCCCCAGCAGGGGCTTCTGGCCTGGGAGCAAGTGGCTGCCTTCCCCAGGGCCAGAACTGCAGGTGGCAGGGGGGCGGGATAGGGAAGGAGCCTGGGGAAAAGCTGAGTGCAGGGGGAAAAAGTGGCCCCTTGCCTGCCCTGTGCCCGGCGCCCCATGCTACAGCCGCTCACAGCCCATGTGGGGCTACCTGTGCCTGCTCCAAACAGCCCTGCACAGGCTGTGAGCAGCTGCAGCAGGGAACACCCGCCCTGTGGCGAGGGGCCGCTTTCCTCCTGCCTTGCCCAGTTTTTCCCCAGGCTCCTTCCTGGGGCGGAGGAAAGCGGCCCCTCCTCCACCCCGTGGCTGACACTCCCCGCTGCAGCTGCTTGCAGCCGATGCGGCACTGTCCGGAGCAGGCACAGGCAGCCCCAGGTGGGCTGTAAGCGGCTGCAGCGCAGGGCACCAGGCACAGGGTGGGCAAGGGGCCGCTTTCTTCCCCCTTCATTCAGCACCAGCTTGTAACCCGGCTCCGCTGCCAGCCTGGGCCTCACGCTAGCTCTGGGCTCCCCCATTGGCAGCAGCTGCGGCACCCCAACTTGATGTGCTGGGCAGCGTTTGCCACCGCCACCTCTAGGCTGCCCAGCATGCAAACTCCAGGCAGGCAGCAGCAGCCAAAGCTGCCCAGTGCTGGGGGGGCTGCAGCTGCTGCTGCTGTGCACAGCCCTGACTGGTGAACCCAGAGCTGGTGCAGAGACCAGGCTGGCAGCAGGGCTGGGTTACAAGCTGGTACTGAGCATGGGGAAAAGCAGCCTCTCGCTTGCCCCATGCTTGGTGCCCCGTGGTGTAGCCACTCGCAACCCATGTGGGGCTGCCTGTGCCTGCTCCAGACAGCCCTGCGTGGGCTGCAAACACCTGCAGCAGGGAGCACCAGCCATGGGGCAGGGGAGGGGCCACTTTTCCTCGCGCTCAGCACCTTTCTTTCCTGCCAGTGAGCAGGGGGTTGGGGCTGTGCACTGCCCCCCTGCCTGTACCATAGGGCTGGGGGGCACTGGGAGCGAACAGCTGCAGGAGCCAGCGGGAGAACAGGGCCTGCACCAGTGTCCCAGGGCCAGTGCCGGTGGATCCCAGCCAGCAGGGGCTCTATAGAGCCAGGCCAGCTCCCCACTCTCCCTGCTGGTGCAGCCCAGCTCAGCTCCACAGACCCCTGCCAGCCTGTGCCCTGCTTTGAGCCCCACTGGTGCTGGCTCTGAGACATTGGCCCCAAGATGGTGACCAGGGGACAGGGCATCTATCAAGGGGCGGGGCTACCCATGTGGCCCTTGATAGCCTGCCAAAACTGGGTAAGTGGCCCTCCTCCCAAAATAATTGCCTGCCCCTGCCCTATAGCCTTCTAGATGTAGACCTATCCAATTCCTAGAGAGAAAAAAGCACAGCAAACTTCCAAAAGATCAAAAGAATCCAAGAAGCTAGAGCCATCTTCTCAGGACAAAATGAAAAGGATCCATGTTCTTTACAATCTGAAGTTACCTTTCATAAGAAAGCAGAGCAGACTCCATTCCTTTGTTCAACACCATCATAAGAGAATTTTTCAAAGGATCTTCCTAAAGTGGCAAGTTTGGTTTCCCTACTTCTAAATTACTTGAAAGTACTGTCAATTATGAAATAGCTGCACCCTTGAAAAAGCAGGTCATGACCTCATTCCCTTACCAGTGTCACCAAACTAGAATTCTTTAGCTTACGTCTTGCAAAACTGCAGTTGTTAGAAAGTTAATCAAGTTCACTCCATCTTGGAAGAGGTACAACCTGAACTAGTTAGACAGAAGTTACATGTGGCAAGTGTATGAGTGGAACTGGTGGTTATATCTTTGTTGCATAAACAATGCTTAAAAATTGTAACATTGACCTACCTTTTACCCCTTGTTTCAGAATGTTCAATGTTATTTGGCTAAGGAACATTCAACAAACAGAAGTCTCGTGCATCAGAACATTCAATCCAAATTGTTGTTTATGTTGTAGAAAAAAATTATCAACATCTTAAGCCATCCTGATCCTCTCCATCGCAACCTGCACAGTTCTTATTATGGCAGAGTTAATCCCTGGTAATCTTTCGTCTCACCGACTCATCACTTAGAATGATCCGTTTTATCTGCAATCCTCCTGAGGTCAGCTGGGCATAGGACAGGGACCTTTGTAGAGGTAGTGTAATAACACACTTCTCTGAAGAAAGTTTCTGGGAGTGGATAGAGTGCGATTCCTTCTCAAAGTGGTTCCTTCACATTTTAGAGCAATTGGTCCCCTTAGATGACAGAACTGCAGTTTTTGTTTGTCATCCTCTCCCATATTTGAAAAACAAACAAAAACCATTAACTGACTTTGCTTTCATCTCTCACCAACACAGGAGAAGATGGGCTATGA